GTTCTCTGCAGTGTTTTTGTGATTTCCTCTTCCTCCGACATATCGTTCGTGTTACTCATTGACCTATTCCAGCGCGCGTCCATCAGGCTGTCTTCCCTGTTCTACCATCTCCTTCTGCACTGTTGTGTTTCCGACCACCAGCCGTACCATGTTTTTTTTGCTGCTCGCTCAATTTCTTGTATATAATTTATTTCGAATTGTGTTTTTGTAGAGTTTCTTGGCGGCCATTTTCAGATTTCAGATTATTGCAGAAAGATGGCGCGAAAGCTGATTTATTTCGTTCACGTCCAGTTTTGTTCCTTTTTGACAGTTTTTGTTGATATAGCAACCTTGAGGGGATAAGTTCCTTACTTATTTTGTTCTCGAATGTTCTTGAACTTTTTCGTTCAGGTTGAGCGACATTTTGTTTTCTAGCCTACGGCTCTTGCAGTCTAAATCTTTATGAAAGGAATCGATGGTTGTACCTATAATTTTTTTGTGTAGTTCGGATTCGAGCCATGGGTCATTTTGCGGTTCTCTCGACAATTAGTCATTTTTCTCTGGAATGTGAAGTATTTTGATCTGATAGGGTTCTAACCTTTCATCCAATTGGTTCATCTATTTTGGTATGTCATATTTGACCTGTTTTCATCCAAGGCAAAATAAGGGCTTTTTGGTAAGCTGTAATGATAATTTCTATACCTTGAAGATATTTTTGTACCTGTCGACTACCCCGTTAACCGCGATGAATTCCAGTTCATTGGTAGAATATAATTTTTTCTTGTATGCTTTAACCACCTGGATGCAAAAGAGATTGGAGCCCAATTCTCCTCATCTGTTTTTTGTTCTAGGGTGGCTCCAAAACTATTGTGATTTGCGTCACAATTAAATCCTGTCTTTTTGTTGCATAATCTTTTTTTGAGATATTTGCAACTGCAGTTTTGATACTCTCAAAAACGGCTGTGTTCCCCCTTATTGAATTTCTTCATCGGTAGTTTGACTTTTTTAAAGTTTTTTCTTCTGTTTCTCTTCTCTCAGGAGCGGTTAATGTTTGTCAGTGAAATTTGCTGCATTCGGAAAGAATTTAGATAGATGATTGATACTACCTAGGATTGATCTCAACTGTTTTTGTGATTAGGGGGCTTAAGTTTCTGTTTTAGTGAACTTTGACATGAACCCTGATTTTGATAAAAATGGTCTAACTAATCTACCTTAGTTTAAAAAAATACTTGGAAACCTTTAATGCAAGATTTTCTACGTCAAAATGTTCCGAAAAAAATTTGAATTTTTTTCTCATGCTCCAATTCCTCCCCTTTATGACGCTAGAATCGGACAATATATAATCTATTTTTAGCAAAATTAATTGTTCACTCCATGGTTTTTTAGATTGCAGCTGGCATATCTGCTAGGCCGTAGAATCCTGTCAGGAATCTATATGCTCCTGTAGTGTTACCGCCTTCGATGTTGAAAAAGCTAATTTCTATTGGCTGTACGCATTTTATAGGCAAGTACAGTGAAATTTAACCTGGACGCTTTTTCTTCTATGACAATTCGGCTCACCCCGTCTATCAACTCGTCGACGTTTGGCATTTTGGTATTTAATTTTGAACAGTTGCGGTTGATCGGCTTTGCGTCTATTGCGGGTTTCATCAAATCATCATTTTTTTTACAAGTGGTGCAATGAAAAATCAAATGGTGCCTTTGTCCAACTTCTTAATGTGACCTTCCAATAATGACTAGTTTATATCCGACCGCAACTTATCTCCGATTGAATTGGTATTCTCTTCCCTTTTTCTTAATTCGAGCAATATGGTTATTCGAACGTCAAACCTTAACATTTCCCACGGTGCCGGTCTCTGTATAATAATTATGCCTACTTGACTCTGGAGATCCAGACCCATTATACGTCGGATCCTTAGTTCTGTGACCAGGAACATACTGATGGTAGTTCTGTTTTGAGAAGCCCCAAAAAGGATCGGCTGTCTGTTGTAGTCCACAAAATGAGCCGCCAAGTTTTGTTTCTCCGCCGGGATGAATCTTGGTCTTCTGGATCTATGATTTCTTGTTTTTTGTTATTACCCCGTATAAGAAAGATAACGGGCTACCTGTGTCTGCAGTTAGTTGGATTATCTGGCTCTCGGTTCGCACCATGGTCTTCCGTGATTTCATTCTGTTGGGTTTTGGATCTCTGAAGAGAACTCTTTTTTGTATTCGTTCTTCTTCTGAATGCGATGTCCGTTTTGCTGTTTTTGCATTATTCTATCGGTCACATACCTCGCAGTTCTCCTACCCACTGTTATGTTTGTTTGTACATACATCATATCAATTTCTTTGCACGATCTAAAATTTTCTATTTAATTACGTTTTTATTCGGATTTTTCGCAATCTTCTGTTATTTCGCTCACTTGTTTTGATCTGCACATTTTTGCGACGTCATAATGTATGTTGGATTTCTCATACGTCTTTCTCATGGGAGGTCAAGATTTCAAACGGTCATTTCTGAATGTCCGACCGCAACGGTTACGTGTTTTGGTTTGTCCATTTGAATTCTTGTTTTTATAGATTATTTATTGAAGTGTTTATAAAAAGTTGTTTCCTGTTCACTCAGTTTGAGCTTCATATTGGCCTTATCAGTTTTCTGGAATGCTAATGTGTTTGTTTTTCTGTGTTTGAAATTTATGGCCCTTTAAATACCTGCTCTGAGGCCAGTATTTCGAATGTCATAAAATCCTGGAGGGTTGAATTTTTCATTTTTGAAATGAATAGACCTCGAACGGTTTCATCCTCCAAATTTCCCTAAAAGAATTTGCTACTTTGGCAAATAATGCTGCCTAAAATGTCACGGAAGTCTCTCCGTGATCCTGTGTTTTCGTGAAGAGTTTGCGTTTTTCGTATGTTACACGTTCTGCTTTTTTTGAAATGATTCCGCGACTAGCTCAACTATCTCCTTGAATGACATTTTCGATACCTACTACTTCTTTCCTTCAGTTCCCAGAAAACTGAATAAACTGGATACCAGTTTGTTTCTTTTGTACCTCATTGTAATAGATGTTGTGACCAAGTCTCGGACCTGGTTCTTCTTTTTTAATTCTCAAGCACGACCCTGACTCTAGCTAGTTTGTCTCTCAGCTCTCTTGCTGTATTTGCGTTCTAATCTTCCCCCTTCCTTGGTGTTTCTGGTCTCGGTGGTGGTTCTTCCAATTTTTCTTTTGGGTCTTCAAGCATAATCTCTGCTTCAACATTTTCCTTAACCGTGACCACTATTAGAAACTGTTCTAACCAATTTTTAAATTGCCAATGTGGATCTAAATTCGCTGATGACAAAAAAATGGTTTCGCCATGTCTGATTGATTAGATTCTCCTGTGCTGAGAATCCTGCCGGCCGCGCCATGCGATTCCTTACGAGGCTGACTCGAGATAAAAATAATAATAGTGTAATTCCGAAGAATTCAAATTGTCTCTTTTCTTTAATTGTGTTCTCTTAGTCGTACTGTTATCAGCAGAGTTGATTGGCAGACCGATTTCTTCAGCTGCTAACTGAAGGCTTGCAATCCAGTGACTTTGGACAATTTTTATTATAATAAGAATAGATTTGTACATCCAAAAATATACACCTCAACGTTACTTTATTGCTGGCGCAGTAGCAGGCAGTTTCACAGTAAGGATCTTCAAAATCAATTTTGCTTTTTAATCAACTTTGATAATCTAAGCTGTTATAAAAAAGGAACAACTTTTCTATGACGTTTTTCTTCTTTCTTATTACCATGTGAACAGTTTTTCTCTGATTTTTTTTAAAATTGACAATCAGCAGAGTAAGCTGGAAAAACACTTACAATAAACTAGAAACTGACTGAAGCTCAATACTGACTAAATCCAATTTATCGTTTCACACATTCTGTAAAAAATGAAATTATCCCATTTATACAACATAGTATCTGTGAAAAAAAAAAACAGTAGCATGGCTGAGTTATAAGGTTTTGAGTGAAAACTTTTGAAATTTGACTTCAATGGCTTCGTTCGAAAAAATGTGTAAGACTTAGGAAATCAGCTAAAAATAATTAAAAAAACATTTTGAATGACGACCTTTGAAAGTAAAAATCCGAAAAACCTCTTTCAAGTTCTTCCAAAAAGTTAATGAGTTTCAGATCAGGAATGACGTTGGCATAGTTTTGTTGATTTCAATACGCTCTAACGAGAAAGAAGATATAAATAATGTAAAGATCAACCGTGCTGAGACTATGGATCGATGGTTTGGGTACCTAAAAAAGTTTGGTACCTAAAAAGTTATAATGAAAATATGTCTAGAGAAAAACAAAAAATAGTTCTCGATGAGAAGGAAAACCAAATAGTTTTAATCGCCATTTTTAAATAGCTGAAAATTCTTTTGTTTGATCGAACGTTTATTCAAACTGAAAATTGTTTTCAGTTTTTTAAGCCTTTAAAACCTATCAGCTGCAAAAGAAAAGAGCTAGATCGGATCTTGATAGTGTCTGATTTATTACAGTAAGTAATGTCTGGGATAGCCAAAATACCTAAAATTGTTTTTGTATAAAATGCATGTTTGTCCAAAAAATGGAAGAAAACAATTTGATTATTGTTGAAACCATTCTGATTTTTTTGAATATTTTTTACCAGAAACTCATCAGGAAAACTAAATTCAGAAGATTCATATCTCAGCAGTTTTTCAACAAAAAATATTCAATAATTAAAAGCAAGCGTTGATTTTTTCTATTTCAAAGTTGTCAGAAAAAACTTCGAAAAAAAATCTGTTTCGGGAAGTATAATCTAGAAGATACTCACAGTTATGACCTTGATTAATTCTCTCTCCCTTTTTTTGACTTTTTCGAAAAAAAAATACTCAATTCACTCTCTAATAGGCATTTGAATCAAGTGAAAATAATTACGCTACGTAAAAAAACTTATGCTAGAAAATTGAATCGACGTAAATATTGATGAAACCTGGATTCGAGTTTGAAATATCAAGTTTTTGATCCAACTCGGTAATTGTTTTCTTTTTGCAGGTGGTTGTTGTCGATATCAGCAGCAAACATATTTGCGTTGGGGGATTAGAAACAACCTCTCTGCCAATCGGTACCTGCAAGAATTATCAAACTTCAGCTGCAAGGAAACGTATTTGAAGTCTCTACAGGTTTTTAGACTATTTTTACAAGAAGAAGCGTGGTTTCAAAAACCGAGAAAAAAATTAAGCAAAAAGTTAAGGTTTACCATTTTAAAGCCCCAGAGTAAAAAACATGAGTGAAACCTGATAAAAAGCGTTTCTAAATTTTTCAAAAAAGCACAAAATGGCCAGCAAAACTTTATTTTGAGTTAAATTGAAAGCAATTTGGTGGAAATTGTGAGTCTTATTAAGTGTATTTAGTTACATTGAAAGCGATTTGGTGGAAATTGTGAGACTTATTTATGAGAAAGTTTTCTGAGGCAAATCGAAGCAGTTTGCAGTTAGAAAACACTTTCAGAAGTCGCTACGCAAATAAATCTGAAAACCTAAACTCTTCATGTGCACGCAGCGTTTTTTTTTTCATAACAGTTTTTCATTCAAAAAGATCAATTTTTTGACAAAAACTTTGGCAGTTTTCTTGAATAACTAGCAAAATTAAAATAAATTTTTTGGGGTTAGTTAAGAACTGCATAAGTTTAAAAGTATAGTCATTTAGCGGGCAAAGTTAAAACAGGACAATATTACTTAGTTAAAGTAGTACTATGTCCGCTTCCTTCGGCTAATTTATCCCAATTTTTTCGACATTCAGAGAAATTTCTAAAAAAAAAAGATGAATAACAAAATAATATTTTTGGTGAATTAATATGTTATCCCTAAACGTTTAAAAGACCCTAAACCGTTTCTCTAGCGTTGCTGTATAAAAAAGTGTGGATTGATGTTTTACTTTTTTAGTTGATTTACGACGGGTCCATCTGTAGAAATTTGGTAACCAGTCTATCCTATGGGAAAGGTCAAACCAAAATAAAAGGCTCATCTGTGAATGCACAAATCGTCTTGACAGTTCCGGGGATACCCGTCGTCTTTATCTTCCAGTGGCGAGATGTGTTCCATCGCTTGACATGGGATTGGTTCAAAACTAACATCCTTTGCTTAGAGCATCCGTGGATTTGCGAACAGTAGTCACTGAAAATTGATGTAGTTTTGAATGGCCTTCAAAAATGCAAAACCTACTAAAGTATTTCGAGTTTACACGTTCGCGAAGTGAACCGCTATTTTCTGCTGCTGAGGAAATGATCTTTTCATTACTTGAGATTTCTTGCTAGAAGCACGTATGATAGTTGCAAACATGTAGCAACTTTCAATGCGCTCTGAATCTCAAAAGATCTCTTTCTGGTGTAGAAAAGCAATTAAAACATTTTCTTGATTCGAAGAATGCAATATTGCCCGCACCGTGCACCCATGGATTCTAATCGATTATAATGGATTCCCGAGACAAAAATAATCGATTATAAACCATTACGGATGTAAAATTCAGACCACGAAATTGATTATATTGCCATTATAATCGATTATTTTTGAACAAATATAATCCATTATGATCCATTATAATCCATTATAATCGATTATAATCCATTATTTTTGTCACTGAACTCGATCATTTTTGCCAAGATAATCCATTATAATCGATTATTTTGAAATGAAAATCCATTATAATCCATCATAATTGATTATAATCCATTTCATTTTTGGAACTAACTTCGATTATTTTTTGCAAAATTTTGCGAGAAGTTTGCAGAATTAATACCCTGTCTTTTACTAAATGCCAGGTCTCAATTTCGTCCTCTCGCCCCCTCAAGCTTTTTACCCCACCCCCATCCCCTCCTCAACTAAGGGGCAGGGTAAACTGGGGGGAGGGGTGTAATCGGGGGGGGGGGGGTATAAACTGGGGGGATGGGGAAGTAAACCGGGGGGGGGGGGGGGGGGGGGGTGGGGATAAATAAACCGGGGGAGGGGGTTAAACTGGTCATCCCCTCGCCCCCTCAAGCTTTCTTACCCCCCCCCCCCCCCCCCCCCGACCGCGGACCTTCAGTTTATAATGGATTTTATTGGGATAAAAAATATTAGGATTATAATCCATTTTTGATGGATTATAATAGATTATTTTGTCATTTTATAGATGCTGACCGTATTATGACAATATAATAGATTATGATCCATGGATAATAGATCATTTTAACATACTCTGCCCAAGTTACTTAAGCGATAATCAATCGCACAATTACCTCCCCGAAATTAAATTAGGGGGGATAAAAAGCAAAATTTTACTAAAGCAACCAAGTTACTAAAGAAAAGCAACCAAGTTACAAAAGAAAATTGAATTCAAACACTACTTTGTGGAATTAACAGCTTACAAAAACAATCCCGCAGAAAAAATCAATTTGTTTCGAGAGTTGGTACGAAAAGCATATTTTATGCAAAAAAAAAACATTTTCAAAAAAATACATGTTTGAGAAAAGCTTTCTTCGGTAGGTCATTTCGGGGAGGGCGAAAAGTATGGTTAGTCAAAAAGTGCTTCATTACTAACCAATGCGTTCGTCAAATTTTATATGGCGGAAAATTTCAATTCGAACCAATCAAATTAGTCTTTTAAATTTTTTCTTCAGTTTTGATGTTTGTGAATAATTAAAAATACCCCCCATATTCGTTTTCTGAAATAGCGTAAATAAAACGGCATTAAGTTTCCGCCATTTTGATTCTATGTTAGGGCTTCTCAGCCGTTTCTCCTTCTAGATACGAACATTATTACAATTGTTTGAGGTTTTATTTGAAAAGTCCAATTGTTACCCGATCACATCAAGCTAACCAGATATAAGTGAAAAGACTGATAATATACCTAGGGAAAGTCCTTAATGTTCCGGCTGCCCCTTAAACTATATCGCATAATTTTTGTGGCAAAATATTGGAAAACAAAAACTTTGAACAAAATCAAACAAGACTGCTCGTATCAGGGCAAAGCCCTTAATGTTCTGACTGCTTTTTAATGCTTATGGAGCAGTAATAACATTTAAAAATTAAATGTAAAAAATGAAAAATTTGTTTTTCAAAAATTTGAAACTTTTTTATGAAACTCATCCCCCCCACACGCCATATAAAGTACAAAAGGACAGATTTCGTTCCTTGTAACAAATCAATTATGGCAAATAAGCTTCTTTCAGCCAATTTGGAACGATTTCTAAGACGGATTAAATATCCGCTTACGCGTTAACAGAGCGAAATATATCGCGCGTTAATTGTCCCAAATTGGCCGAAATGGCAATCTTTAAACCCCCATAACTTTACGAAAAATGGTCACAGGTGAAATAGCTCAGGACAACAAGCTCAGGACAACAATACCTTTCGAATGATATAAAAAAAATTTGTCAAAAATGGCTAGTTAAAAAGTCGAAATTTGTCTGAAGAAAAAAAAACCCACCCCGAGCACAAATATTCCGTTACTTTCGTATCGAAAGTCGGAACGAACTAAAAGTAAAAATTTCAGCTGAACAAAGTTAAGACGACTGACTAGCTAGCTTCGCGCCCAAGCATAAACAATTTGCACTCAGGTCGAGGTGCTCGACTCATATTTCGACTTTGAAAGTCGAGCATGTGCAGTTTTCACTGAAGGTCCGCGGTCGAGAAGCAATTTTAAGTCGAGCACAAAGTCAAAACGTACCCGATTCTGGCTGGGAAAGTCGAAAAATTTGTCGAGCACAGTCAAAACATAGGCCGAGCGCAGTCGAATTATAGGTCGAGCAAAGTAGAAAAATAGGTCGAGCACAGTCCAGACATAAACCAGCACAGCCGAAACATAGTCGAGCAGAGTCAAAATATCGGTCGAGCACAGTCAAAACATAGGTCGAGTAGAGTCGATATATAGGTCGAGCACAGTCGAAACATATCTGTCCGGGGTCGAACAATCAATAAAGTTTCAAAAACTTTTCAAAAAAGTTTAGGTGAACTGCAATAATTAGTATAAACATCTAGGAAAATCGATCTGAGATTATCACAAAAAGTTTGGAAAATTTGTTGTTCGTTTCTTTTCGTGGTCAGAAAAACTATTTCTCTACGAATTGCGAGTCGAAAATGTCCTAAAATTTGAAACTTATCCAATTTTGTTCGAGAAATTTGAAACATTAGCCGAGCCAAGTCAAAAATATATTTTTTTGTTGGGTCGAGAAAATCGGAACATGCCAAAAATTTTTTGAGAAAATTGAAACATACCCGACTTTTGTCGAGATCCTCAAAACATAGGTCGAGAAAGTCGAAACACACCTGATTTCGGTCGAGAAAGTCAAAACATAGGGCGAAAAAAAACGTAGTTAGAGAAGTTCAAAACAAAGGTCGAGAAAGTCCAAATGGTCAAGAAAAACAAAACACAGGTCAAGCACAGTCGAAACACAGGTCGAGCACAATCGAAACAATGGTCGAGCAGAGTCGATATATAGGTCGAGCACAGTCGAAACATATCTGTGCGGGATCGAACAAACAGTAAAGCTTCAAAAAATTTTCAAAAAAGTCTAGGAGAACTGCAATAAGTAGTATTAACATCTACGAAAAATCGATTTTTTGGAAAATGAAAATGAATGTTAATCAATCATAAAAGACTTGAGATATATATCACGAAAATTTTGGAAAGTTTTTTGTTCGTTTCTTTTCGGGGTCAGAAAAAGAATTTCTCTACGAATTGCGAGTCGAAAAGGTCGCAAAGATTGAAACATATCCAATTTTGTTCGAGAAAGTCGAAACATAGCAAAAATTAGCCGAGCAAAGTCAAAATTATTTTTTTGGTGGGTCGAGAAAATCGGAACATGCCAAAAAAAATTTTTGAGAAAATTGAAACATACCCGACTTTTGTCGAGATCCTCAAAACATAGGTAGAGAAAGTCGAAACACACCTGATTTCGGTCGAGAAAGTCAAAACATAGGGCGAAAAAAAACGTAGTTAGAGAAGTTCAAAACAAAGGTCGAGAAAGTCAAAATGGTCAAGAAAAACAAAACACAGGTCAAGCACAGTCGAAACATAGGTCGAGCACAATCGAAACATAGGTCGAGCGGAGTCGATTTATAGGTCGAGCACAGTCGAAACATATCTGTGCGGGGTAGAAAAAACAGTAAAGCTTAAAAAAAATTTCAAAAAAGTCTAGGAGAACTGCAATAAGTAGTATTAACATCTACGAAAAATTGCTTTTTCGCAAAATGAAAATGAATGTTAATCAATCATAAAAGACCTGAGATATATATCACGAAAATTTTGGAAAATTTTTTGTTCGTTTCTTTTCGGGGTCAGAAAAACAATTTCTCTACGAATTGCGAGTCGAAAAGGTAGCAAAGATTGAAACATATCCAATTTTGTTCGAGAAAGTCGAAACATAGCAAAAATTAGCCGAGCAAAGTCAAAAATATTTTTTTGGTGGGTCGAGAAAATCGGAACATGCCAACAAATTTTGAAAAAATTGAAACATACCCGACTTTTGTCGAGATCCTCAAAACATAGGTCGAGAAAGTCGAAACACACCTGATTTCGGTCGAGAAAGTCAAAACATAGGGCGAAAAAAAAACGTTGTTAGAGAAGTTCAAAACAAAGGTCGAGAAAGTCAACATGGTCAAGAAAAACAAAACACAGGTCAAGCACAGTCGAAACATAGGTCGAGCACAATCGAAACATAGGTCGAGCAGAGTCGATTTATAGGTCGAGCACAGTCGAAACATATCTGTGCGGGGTCGAAGAAACAATAAAGCTTCAAAAAAATCTCAAAAAAGTCTAGGAGAACTGCAATAAGTAGTAAAAACCTCTACAAAAAATCGATTTTTCGGAAAATGAAAATGAATTTTAATCAGTCATAAAAGACCTGAGATATATCACGAAAATTGTGGAAAATTTTTTGTTCGTTTCTTTTTGGGGTCAGAAAAACAATTTCTCTACGAATTGCGAGTCGAAAAGGTCGCAAAGATTGAAACATATCCTGTTTTGTTCGAGAAAGTCGAAACATAGCAAAAATTAGCCGAGCAAAGTCAAAAATATTTTTTTGGTGGGTCGAGAAAATCGGAACATGCCAACAAATTTTGAAAAAAATGAAACATACCCGACTTTTGTCGAGATCCTCAAAACATAGGTAGAAAAAGTCGAAATACACCTGATTTCGGTCGAGAAAGTCAAAATATAGCGCGAAAAAGTCAAAACAGAGTTAGAGAAGTTCAAAACAAAGATCGAGAAAGTCGAAGTGGTCGAGAAAATCAAAACACAGGTCAAGCAGAGTCGATATAT